ACACTGCAGCTAGGTTCGGGGGGCGTGGCAGTAGTGGTGATTTGCTCTCCTTGACTACTCTTACTGGTATTGCGGGAGTGTTGCTGAAACTCGGTGATCATATTATTTCCTGCATGATAGTCAAGGTTAAGTATGATTACCGAACTTCCTCAAGGGTTGCGACTGAGGTTACTTTATCTTATTTCCTCTTCCAAGCACGAGTTCCCTGAAATGTTTGAATATTTTTTGAGAACTCAGATTCACTGCTGTCTGACGAAGACTACGAACAGGACTATGAAAGCTCAAGGAGTACCGGACGGCCAAAAAAATTAAACACCATTGACGAGGAGGACTCCACTTTTGGACACAGCTCTGCGCTAGGTAGGCGATGAACCTTACTTGAGACACTCGAATTTTTTTCTATTGTTTATAATCTTTGTTAATATTTGAGGTATATAACTTTTTCTTAATGCTTGCAACTTTAACGTAATTTTAATACTGCCTCTTATTCTAAAAAAATCTTTCAGGTCCATCCAGTTCTTCAGCGAGAAATTACCCTACACACAGGTATGTCTCCAACTTTTCACTAATTTTCACTAACTCATCAGTGGCTGGGGTCGCCCACGTGTGATAGGCGATCGTGGAGGGTCTCAAAACGAAGGAAGGGACAAGAATTCTAAAGTAGATGACTTCTCAACCGGAGAGGAAACGGAGAAGCGCCTTAGGGTTGACTCGGATACCGGTCAATCCTCTGTTGGTGATGAAGAACAAGAATACCAAGGGGCGGAAGAAGAAGTTGGAGCGAGTGAAGTTGAGTCCCTTGCCATTTCAGCCGCCGATTTGGCAGAGGAGGAGGAAAATGAGAAGGATGATGATGAAGAAGTAGAAGAAGGGGAAGAAGAAGAAGAGGAGGAGGAAGAGAGAGTTGAAGAAGAGGGAAATGCAGGCAGTTACTCCGGGTCCCGGCAACGTCGTAAACCCTCCGAGGACATGTGGATTCGTCTGTTTGTCGCTGCACACTTTGTCGATACTCTGCTGTGCGGAGTCAAATTGCTCACCGACTGGCTCACTTGTTCTCCTGATTTCCTACAAAGAGCAGCCCAGTCTCACCACTCTCTTGTCCAACAACTATCTTGGCATCTAGCTGGACTGTTGAACTATCTCAATCCGATTGTTTTGAGCACTGAGCGCGAATTGGACCAATTCTCCGAAACTGATGCGGCTGCAACGACCT